CGCCTTTTTACTAAATGATTGATTTTTAGGCGTGCCCCATAGAAATCGGCTCTTTGGGGTATTTTACCAATGATCTCGTCTATTATTGGAAAGATGTGGATCTGGACGCTAAAATGGGCAATAATAGAAGTCAAAATATGTGCGGCGCTGTGCGCCTCGATATGAGCCACTCTCCAGGCAGGGTTAAGCCGCGTCATGTCTGTTGGTCTGCGTACTCTATTAGAGACAGCATGACATCTTTTAACATGGCGTAGTGTAAGTCACTACATGTTATCTTCTCACTTAGACAGCATGATCTGGTTTTGTCAGAACACAACGGGATTGAAAAGTGTTACCATGTGCCCCTCCTGAGGCACACAGCGCTTTATTAGCTAATAAAACATATTTCACAACGCAAAGATATACCGAAAGACGGCGCAGAAATCCATAGCGAGCATTGCGGCGTAATTCTTTCGCGCGCGACAAGCGTCGGGAACAAAGGTTTCACGTCCTATGCAGCCTAACAGTCGCGACTGGCGTCTCCCTTGAACTTCACTGAAGATATCAGGCTTTCTTGCGCCAAACGAATGTGGTATGGGCGATCCGAAAATCAAATTTCCCGTGGTATTTCAGAAGGAAAGCTCGACTGGAGCTTGAAAATCCTTTGCAGTTCTTGTAAATTCTGGTGCCTAGTAGTCTTATCAGCGGACTTGATAAATAGGATCGTTGATCTTCCCACACCCCCTATCGAGGTCATACTTGCTCGCTAGGGATAGGGAGGGAGGATCGTATTTGGTCGGAGGGGACGTATCTCCCACCGAACAACCTCTGCCTTATTGCCGGCACCTTAAATACTACTATACAACTACCATATTAGAAATTCGATTTCGATACCTGATTGATGTTCCCCCCCCCCTTCCACATCAGCCCACCGACGGCTGTGTTTCTCAATTTCTCGGGAGCGAGTGGCTGATCCTTTTTTGGAAAAAAAAATTGTGAAAATTGGTTGGGAAGAGGGGAATTTGCGAAGATGGTAGAGAAAGGGGGAGGCGTAATGACACCATTATTTCACCCATCCCGCTGCTGCAATAAATGTATTTCCTTTGAAGAATGTCAGTGGGTGGAATCAATTCCAGTTCCAATTTGTGGATTAACTCCAACAGGACGCGCAAAGTTGAAAAAAATTTCTCAGGCGGCAAGATTGAATACCTCATTCAGTTTGCTTTGAGCAATGACCCCAGGGGTTTTGATGTGACACATTTTTTTCAGATTCGGCGCTGACGTTCGAGAAAATAAACAGTATTATTGGTGCGACTTGTCTAGTCGCAGTGATGGAATGCTCCTCTGACAAACAAAACGGAACTTTGACGAAAAGTGCTCTACAGGATCTCACTTGCATAAAGTGACGTCAAACGTTGTGTAAGATTAATCTTCTCAAAAGCAATGATTTCTTATAGAATAAATAAACCATATGCAAAAAATCGAAGAACAACTCCGGGGCGCAGTCCGCACGGGGGGCATTTTGACCTTCGCCTCCGCTGTTCTGGTTTACAAGTCTCACTATGGATGAAACCTGTCTGGTTGTGAAGCTGACGAACTCGTCGGCATTACCTGTACCTTGATGAGTCCCCAAATCGCTGGTCCAGATCGCCCTCAAAACACAATGGGAAGACACAAACGTGCAAAATGCTAACTCCCCGAACTACCCCAGCTCCAGTTTTAATGTTGAAAACATTAATCAGCCAGTCGTTGTGTTCTGAATTTGTTGATCGATGAAAACCCGCACCTGAACATCCATAGGTAACTTCCTCAAGAACATGAGACATTTCGTCTTTATGGTTAATCTAAATGATTGTACATTTCTGTGTGATCGGATCTTTACTATGAAGACATTCTCGAAATTTTGCAATTATCTTCCACTCAAAGAGCATTCCACGCTGATCGTGTGGGTGGAGACATGGGCGGAGCAACCCCACTCCCACTGTAGTCGAACGTGATTCGCTGTTTTCAACTTTTCGTTTTTCACCTTTTCATGTGAACCTAGAAAGGACCACTGAAGACGCAATGGTGAGTTCGCCGCCCATACATCATCGTGGACTATCCTTCAGTGACTATGCCTCAGAGATTCACGAAGCTAGAAGAAGGAACCCACCTCTGCGAGACGTGCACCTGTCCATCTGACCTTACTCGGAAAAGAATATTTGGTACGGTAAGTGTATGTAGATAAGACTTACGTCCATTTCGAATGTAAGTGTCGGGTACCTGGACATGAGGAATCGTCACTACTGCTTTTACAACTAGAGAGAGACAGAGAGAGAGATCGGGGCGTGGATTGAAGCACTTCCTGGGCGGCCTTTCCATGAATGATGCCAGAGAGAGTCCAAGAAATCTTTCTTATTTCTGATTTTCCCGTTTCACATCACCCCACCCCACTACGAAAATCCCAACAGAAATGAAACGCTGCCGGAAGGATAATGGTTATTCCTCTTACCCATATATCCTTCAGCATTTTGCTAGCTAGTGGCATCACCGGTTTATCCGGATTAATAGGAGTGAACGCAAGTCGTCGGTCGAGCCATTTTTGTCGAAAGTAGCAGTCAAGAGAGAATTCCTGTAAAAAAATGTATATTTTTATCACAATAACCAGCGAAGTGCTAGTGAAGGTGAAGCATCGAAAAGCGATGCTGCTAATACATGCAAGAGCCGTATTCCACCAAAGCCAGCGGAATCTTCCTTCTCTTCGGGTACTATTTAGTATCGGTCTGAGTGGACAAGAAAATTGAGTTCTGCATTAGTTGGTCCCTGTAGAAGCCAAGTACACTTCCAAAAATTAGTGTGATTCTGAGTAGAAGTCGAATGCGTGGCGCATCTCAAAACAAAACAACGAGAGACGCTTTTGAATTGGATCAGTCTAACCGAGGGACCACTCAAACTTACCGCTCTCTAATGTGCGTCGTATGGAGCCGGACTGTATAGGCCCTACGCACAACATCCGTTACACGAAACCACCGAAATGTTCGTAGCGACCACCCGCGGCGCAATTTTGTCGCGCGCGGCGAGCGTGGGGCAAAGATTGCAGAACCATTGCTCTAGTAGAAACCTCTTGTCCCTTTTTTCGTATCACCGAGGGCTCCGGGCGTTTTCGCGCAAAGTGATTTCTATCTTCGAGTTCAGGAGGTCTGACTAACTACGGGCGAGAAATGCATCCTCTAAGGACACGCCACAAATGTGAATTCCATTCAGAATTATGGAACTATTCCAATGCACCTGTGCTGAGTCATCGCCTGAATTTGAACAAAATCGGATTGCAAGCACAAAAATGGAAATTTTGAGACTCGCAGTCATCTGAGTCAGTCTGATGAACAGGACGTTAAATGCGTGGCGCATCCCATAAAAAGTGGCCAGTACTGCTCGCATTTCCTAATTTCCCATGCAAAATAGGGGGGTGGCAAGTCTACGGGTTAGCTCATCCACCTAGATTGGGTTTTCGCGGCCTGCGGTGAACATTAGGGTTCTGTCAAGGGCTACCGTAAACGCTGTTGCGGCACTTATGAAGGGTTTATTAAGTTATGGGTAACGCACTCGCCCGGTAAGCGAGAAATGCTTGTCGAATCCGCCCGGCGTCTAACTTTTGCCCGTGACTCATTCTTGTGATTAACTGTTTTGTAAAGTTGTCGTCTGAATGGCGCTCTAGGAACCTCATTCTGGTTTTTGAAAGTTGCAAAACTCTGGAGCTCCATTTGGAGATCTGTTCAGCCCAATAGCAACCTCGAAAATGCGGTGATTCCAAGATCCAGTT